CTATGGATTATTTGTGCCACATCCCAGGATTGGAGTCATCTGGACTCCCTGCCAAGAGGATTAAGTTAGGCCAATTTATTTTGCCTGTGCAGACAGGACCATCATCTTTTGGTGGCTTACTCTTTAGAGACAGCCTGTGATTTTCGCAGATAGAAAGAGGGAATTATGAGTTAGTTCATTCCTATGAGACACTTTGCACATAAGGAAGTCCATTTGCCTATAGTAAACAAATGTTCCCCTTTGATCCTGCAAAACGTTTGATTTGTTGTTGTGTGCCTTCATGTCATTTCTGACTTATGGTAGGTGTTATTGGCAGGATTTGTTCAGTGGAGGTTTGCCATTGCCTTCTCCTAAGGCTGAGAGAGTGTGACTTGCCCAAGGTCACCAAGTGGGTTTCCATGGCTGAGCCAGGATTCGAACCCTGGTCTCCGGATTCCTAGTCCATTATTCAATCCACTACATCACACTGGCTTTCTTTTGATACTTAATTGTGAATCAGGCACAATACTCTGTATTATCATATTCTTGCATTTACAATTTTTATCTCTGAATGGGTTACCTTTTCTTGCATTCTTGGAGCACTGATTCTCCCAATGTTATAAGACTACAACTCCCAATACCTCTGAGCTATGCTGCCTGGGGCTGATGGGAATGACAGTCGAGCCACATCTAAGGAACCAAATTTTGGGAAGTCAGCTAGTCAGGCCCCTTTTCTTTCCTTTACTTTTTTTGATCTCGTGTTTCTTCACTTATTTGAGTTGCCATCAGGATCTTTTCAGGTGTTTGAAAAGCATCCATAACAAATGTGTGGAGTTTGGAGTGAAATCGCACATATTATAGATTATTTTAAAAGGTTAAAGAAAATGTTACAGAGCATTTCTTTAGTTTGCATTTCAGCAACCCCTGACTAATGAGGGATCCAGGGCTTCCAACCGTTCTAATTTATTTCATTGTCCATTTTTACTTTGATCGTATCCATGCTACCCAATTATAGTAGTTTGATTTGAGTTTAACTGCCATGGCTACATCCTTTGGAAACCTGGGATTTATAGTTTCATGAGATGATCATAATACTCTGTCAGAGCACTCTGATGTTGTAATTCCAGGGAAGGCAACCTCACCAAATGACAAACCCCAGGTTTCTGTAGGATAGAGCCAATGCAGTTAAAGTGGGTTCAAACCAATATAAGTTTGCAGTCTATGGTGTCCAATGCAATATTTATAATCATAGAATCATAGAGTTAGAAGAGACCACAAGGGCCATCCAGTCCAACCCCCTGCCATGCAGGAACTCCCAATCAAAGCATCCCTGACAGATAAGGAAAGAAATGTAGCAAATGTCGGCCAAGAAGGAGGCATTTCAGAATCCCAGGCTCCAGAATGTGAATTTGGAGATCCAGAGGTGTAGTTCTCAGTGTTGACATCTTTCTAAATAGAGTGGCACTAATACTTCTCTCAGTCTGGACACTGTGTTCCTATTGATGCAGGCTAGAATTACATTGGCTTTTTGGGCTGTTGCATCACATATTCACTCATGTATAGCTTGTGGTCTACTAACACCCCTAGATCCTTTTCACGTCTACTGCTTTAAAGCCAGATGACAATATTTGCACGTTCCACTTTTCCTGTATAAATGTAGCACCTTACATTTATCCCTGTTCAAATCCCATTTGTTAGATTTGGCCCAGTCCAATCTGTTAAGATCAGTTTGTACGCAGATACCACCACCATCACCCTAAATGGCAAAAATTCACCTCCAGAAATCTCTGTTTGCCATTTTTATGTAATTCCAATTTCATCTTCTGATAATTTTAGGCTAGAAATATCCTTCAAAAAAAATCTACCAGTGATCAGCCAGTTGCTTAAAAACACTGATTTGTGGTCTAAAACAGGCCCAGAGAGGGGCACAATGGCATTAAAATGGCAAATGGATGCCCACAGAGGCATCACGGGGGTTGTTGTTGTTGTGTGCCTTCAAGTCATTTCCGACATATGACAGTCCTATCATGGGCTTTTCTTGGCAAACTTTGTTCAGAGGAGTTTGTCATTGCCTTCCCCTGAGGCTGAGAGAGTGTGACTTACCCAAGGTCACCCAGTGCCATGCTGGTTGTACCTACATACAACTATATATATACAACCAGCCTCTTGGGAATTTCACTGGGATGTGGCCCTCAATGTTGTAGGAGAGCAGAATATGCCACAGAATATGCCCAGCCCTGCTTTAGTGCATCCTTTCCCTCTTTGCTTTGTGTGTCTTGGATGATAATGTTGTTTTTTGGAGCTGCAACTGTGACAAAGATCCACCCTAGTAATTTTGTTTTCCCACAGAGATTGGTGAGGGAAAAGCTTATTTTTGTGGTGGGTGTCATGACATCTCTTTGTGGAATGGGGTTCAAGTATAGAGGCATCCGTCTTATTACCACCTTGAACAGCTTTAAAAAGGCTGTTAAGACGGATCTTTTCCGGCAGGCCTTTCCTGAATAGTTTTCCCGGCCCCTCGACCTAGATTAATCCATCTTCCCCCTTTTTGTGCTGCTGTTATTACGATTGTTATGTTATTTGTGATTTATGTTATTAAATCTCTTTTATATCATTCTTTGTTTAATATCTTTTTAAGGGGTGGGAGGGTTTGGGGGTTTTGTATGTATTTTATCTTAGTTTTAATATTGCAAGCCGCCTCGATTGCATCGCAGTGGGGCGGGATAAAAATAAAAATTATTATTATTATTATTATTATTTATATATGCAGGAGGACCTCTGGGCTGGTAGCCACATCTGCATGAATTAAACCACCCCCTCCCCAAATGCTTGGCTTCTTTTGCAGCCAGCAAGCAATGGGGAAAAGTCCAGCAAAAGTAGGTTGTCTGCAAAGATCTAGATCTCCAAGGAATTCACAGATCTGATGGGCTGTAAAAAAAAAAAAAGCATATTGAAATGGTGGTGTTTATTCAACCGCTTCAGACAATCTAGAGATGCTGGTTTCCTACCACTTCACATCTGGGGGGACTGTGCTTCACCAGGGGTGTGGATCTGAATGTTATGTCTTTCATTATTTTCCATTAATGTCATTATTGCCATCTGATGAGTGTCAAAATGATACCATTATTTCTCCTAAGAGAGCAGTGTTGCCCACCCAGTGCAAATCTGGAAATTGCAACCCATGTATATATCTTGATCTTCAGCCCGTCCCTCTGTTTTATAAATGCTGTTTTAAGGAGCAACTGCATCCATGCGCAACGTAAGTGTGGGACTGTCTGCTGCTGCATAATGCATGATCGCTTTGGGTTTCTTATTTGGGTTTTCTAACTACAGCTTAGCAGAACAGCCTGAGAGCTACGAGTGGGAGAATGGCATACTCTATTCCTGGCACATAATCCCCGCCTCAATGTTTCTCAAACTTTGGTCTTCTAAATATTTGGGACTTGAGCTCCTGACTAGCATGCTCAGTGGTCAGGAATTCTGGGGGAGGAGGTTTCAAATATCTGGAGAACCGAATTATTTGAGGGATAAATTTTCATCACCTTGAATTGGTCCTTTAGACTTCAGGTTAAAACCTAAAGTATAAAGAAGGGCAAGCAATATGATGAAAGGTCTGGAAACCAAGCCTTATGAGAATAACTTAGGGAGCTGGGTATGCTTAGCTTGGAGAAGAGAAAACTGAGAGGTGATGTGTGTGTATGTGCCTTCAAATTTCTTGTTGGCTTAGGGTGACCCCATTAATTTAATAGGATTTTCTTATGCTAGGAAGACTCGCAGGTGGTTTTGCCACTTCCCTCCCCTAAAATCTAGCCTACAGCATCTAATATTCATTGGTGGTCTTCCATCCAAGGACTAACCCGAGCTGACCCTGCTTAGCCTCCAAGATCAGGTGGGATCTGGTGCCTTTAGGATATTTAGGCCTCCAGTGATAGCCATCTTTAAATATGTTAAGAAGTATTATGTAGGGATGGAGCAAGCTTGTTTTCTGCTACTTCAGAGACTGGAACATCAAGCAATGAACTCAAATTATAAGAAAAAAGATTCCAAGTAAATATTAGGAAGATATACATGGACACACAGACTTGTATTACTGTAAGACTTCTTCAGAGAGTGGTGGACCCTCCATCTTTGGAGTTCTTTAAGCAGAGATTGGATGAGCCTCTTTTAGGAGTACCTTAATAGTGTATTCCTCCAAGGCAAGGGGTTGGACTGGATGACCCTCATGGTCCCTTCTAACTCGAAAATTCTGTGCTTCACAGCCCCAGGTGTAGGAGAACTACTAGCTGCAACTGGCTGTGTGTTACAGCATAAGTGTTGAAAATAGGTTGCTGTTCTGATCCATACAAAGCAAGGCAGGCTGGTAGTTTCAGCATCACAGAAAACTCCAGATGAGTCACTTTGCTCCGATAAGAACTGGAAAGGGACCGAGGCTCCATCTACACTGCAGAAACAGTGCAGTTTGACCCCACTTTTAATGCCATGACCCAGTGCTATGGAATCCTGGGATTTGTAGTTTTGCGAGGTACTTA